TTAGAATGGAATCGACAGGAATTCGTGAGTTATTAAAGAATTCATTATATTTTGTATGAATTGATTATTGATTAAGTTATTAATATTTTTATATATTGTAAATAAAATTGTAATTATAATTGGATTTGAAAAGCATTGAGAATTCATGCGAGTGAGGCCTGTAAGACCATTCTTGATAAATTGGGAGGTTATGTTATTCAAGAAAGAGGTGTCATCTCTATTAAGGTATTGAGTAATGAACTTTAATTTAGTTATTTGATAAATTTATAATTTAATAAAATGTTAGGGAAAGGGAGAAATGAAGTCATTTTGGTTAACTGGCAAACAAGAGGTCACATCCCCGATCTCTTTCCTCAGTGGTATTATTTACTTATTTATTGTAATCCAACAAATGATAATAATTTTAAAACTATTATTTTAATTTCATGTTTTTTAAATGATATATCATTTGATAAAACGTTTGAAACATTTAATTAATTAAAAAGATTCTTCGAAAATGAGTCCGAAATCAGAAGAATTGTCTTTTGAATCAATGGAAGTGAGTCTGAATGGAAGCAATCGTTTCAAAAGTGGTAATTCATTGGATGGCAATAATTGTTTCGCAAATATATCGCAGAATGAAGAGATTAATAGTCACACGAATACAGTTATTGTGAATATTAACTTCAAATCTAATGGTTTACTAAATGATGAATTTGATGAACAAAGTCAATCCGATTTCAAGCTTAATAATAAAGTACAGGAAAAGAATATTAAAAATACAAATGAAATTTTCTGTTCAAATAAATTTATAAGTGATTAAATACAAAGTCTAAAACATATTATATGCCCTGAAATGTTATGTCAAAATTGTTTTTACTAAAGTTCGGTATATATATTTTAAAATATAGTTAAAGTCCAATATAGCTGAGTATTGTATTTTGAGTAATTGTAAGTTTAGAATTTATATTGAGAAATAAAGACATTGATAGATAACATAAATATTTCCCACTAAAATATCATGATCAAATTTCATCATAGTCTGTGTCAAATGTTTATGATTTAAAAGTTTCATATAAAATCATATCAAACTTTATTATGAATCCTATTACAGAGAATAATATTACAATATTTTAAACCTATGGGTAAATTCAATATAATATTTTTATGATAAATACTTTCTGTATTAAATAATAAGCAAGTATAAGTTTTATGTAAAGTGTGAACTTTGAAGAACCTAATGTAGTAAAAGTGTAGTTGTTATTATTCAATTCACAATTTTACATTTAAATTCTTTACAAGTTAAATACATGATTTTAGTCTCATCAAAAAAGTAAATAACATAAAATTCAGTCATTATAATGTAAAAATGTAATAATTTTAGAAATTAATGTGAATGTATTGTATGAAATATCTTATAATTAAATTATAAACTCTTCAAAGAAAATATGCTTTATATTATAT